CGCATGCGTCCTGGCCCATGTCCTCCGTTATTGGCGCAGCGATGCCCAAGTCTGGATCGGCGGCTTCGCCACTGGAGGATTCGCACGAGTATTCCGACCCGGGCGCTGGCACAATGGGATCAACAGCTGGCGCGAGGCCAGGAGCTTCTCCCCTTGCGTCAGCCGCCGACATGCTAGCACCTTCGCGAGAGGAAGAGGCGGGATGCCCCGCAAAAGAGGCCGCTAGCGTTTCACGCATTGCCTCGTGGTATCCTCGATGGCACCGCTTATGTCGGTGACTCTTATCGGGGTATCTCCATTATTGCTCAACGTTGCGCCTAGTGATCGTCTTGCGGCTGGTAGTCATCCTTGGTCAGATGTGCGTCTCTAGGATTGCAGGTCGGGCCCGCCCTGCGCCCAAGGCCACCCCCGTGGGGCCAGACCCACGGGGTCCGCCCGAAGTTTGGGCACCGCGAAGGGCGCCCCATCGGGCACTTCGGTCTGCGGTCTGCAAAATGCTCGCGCACATGCACTTTTTTTCTCGACATTCCTTCCGACCCGCAATGCTGATTATTTGTGCGCCCTTTCCTTCCAGCGCGGCAGCGGTCTTAGCGCCGCCTCTTTTGGTGGCGCGGACGATTTTGCCTTGGCCATCCCGCTTCGCATTATTCCATGACCACCAGTGGCGGATTTGGTGCTCGGCGCAACCCTTGCCCAGCCAATGATCCCATTCTTTGTCTGGCATACGTTGGCAGGCAAGCCCGTCGTTATGTCCGCCGACAAGTCTGAGTTGACGCGGGCCACCAGGTTCACCTGGGCCCCCGTCATCCTGCCGCGGGCTCCCCCGCGAACGCCCCCATCTAGGCGACTCTCTCGGATCGCGCGGACGAGGGCGCCGCGCGCCGCCTGGGCGGGCGCGCGAGCGCCTGCGCGAATGGCTCCGCCGATGGCAGCATGACGGATGGCTCGCGGCCCCCCGCGTCTCATCGCCAATTCGACACACGCGCGTCCAAACCGGGCGGCTCGAAAACCGACCGGCCCCGCAGTGCAGAAGTGAAGTGGGGGCCTTCATTGTGCCCGAGTTCATATTGAATACGCTCAGAGAGGTCACCTGCGTCACGCGGGCTGCCCCGCAAAGGATCGTCATCGCAGGTTTGCCCTGCGCGCGGGGTTGCCGATCACCTGCGGTCGGAGCGCCAATTGAAGCTCCTTCTCCGCGGCCGGCGCGGCATCATCGGAGCGCGCAGGTGCCCCCGTCATCTCGTGATCCGAGTCGGCGGCCACGTGGTAGTCCACGATGAACCAACTCCACGTGCGCAGGTTGCCCCGCGAGAGGAATGCCCCGCCAGTCTGCATGTTCGATCTCATCGCGGCCGACGTAGATCTCCTCGAAAAGCTCGTCGGCGCACCTCTCGACGGATTAGCTGGCGCTCAGATACCTCGCGGACGCGAAGTGGACAGCGGCTGCGGGGTCACCTTCCGACTCGGCGAGAAGAGTCCCCCAATCGACGCACTGAAAACCGGACTCGGCTTGAGCCAAGTGCATCGACGGACCTTGCCTCCCCCGCCACCTCGGGTGCATTCACGACGAAAATGATGGGTGCGATTGCACATGTCACATTCCACGGTTTACCGCTGGCACCCCCCGCCCCACCACCCCCCGCCCCACCCCCGCCCCCCCGCGCACGCGCCGCCGCCACCACCGCGCGCGCGCCTTTTCCTGGGACGCGTCTACGGCCTCTACCTTTCCCCAGGAAGATCTCTTCATACTGCGGCCCCGTAGGGGATGCCAAGAATGCCATGAATGCTAGCATACCTCTGCCATGCTACCTCCGCCTTTGACCCCTGCCCGTACCCCTACCCTCTGGCCTAAACGCTCGTCGGACTGCACGTCGCACCTTCCGAACTGGTTTCTTCAAAAAGCGTATGCATCGGCGCTTGTGTTTCTGGAATCCTGGGAATATCCACTGCGACTGCTGCTCTTCAGTGGTGAGATTCACATGCGTGTAGGAGTGATCCAGGTTGCCAATTCCCTCATCTGATGAGGCGGCAGCGCCGGCGGCATAATCAAAGTCGGACCCCGCGGGCTGCCCCGCCGAGCCTACAAGGGCAGTGGCTCAGACAGGGGCCGCCGTCGCCGACGGCCCAAGAGTCTGACGACCCTGTGGGCTGGTCACCTTGTTGGCTTAATAGAGCGGTGGCCTCGTTTGGTTTTGAAACGTCATTCCAGGCGTTGTTGGCAGGTTGACCTGTGTGAGTGTCGCTACGAAAGACGCCAGCGCGGTGACCTTGGCTGAATGCACCACCACTGTTGCCAGGGGCTCGCTCAGCAATATGGGCGCAAGCGCGCATGCGCTCTAGTAAGGCGTCAAACTGCTGCTGAGCCCTTGGCATTTTGTGGCTCGACGGTTGCATTAAATGCTGTGCACGCGATGTACCAACACCTAGCGCTCTAAACGGAAAAACTGTTAGGATCTGGAAGTTTGGGATGCTGAAACCCGCGGCATCGGCTTCGAAGCGTGCTATGTCGAAGCGGGCCAGCACCTGGTCGATCCGTTGTCCCGCATGGACGCGAAAGTCAATGAGAGCCGTTCCCGAGTTGAGTTGGCGCTCCTCCTCCAGGTTTTCGAACTTAGTGCTGAGGAGGAACATGATATAAGTGACGCCATCGGTGTGGCGACCACCTCATGACCATGGTCCTTGCGTGCCCTCCCAGACCACACTGTAGCGCGGAATCCTGTTGGGAGGGTGTCGTAGTGCCTGTGGTCACGTTGATCCAGGCATGTACCTTGCGAACGAACTCGCGGAAAGGTACGTTACCGGCAGGGCCCCAGTGGGGGCCGGTAATACGTGCGTCGTCTCCGCCACGCTGCATGTGCCCAACAGCGCATCCGATAGCGACCCATAAAAGGCCAAAAACAGTAATATCATTCCAATGGCCCCGTAGGTCGTAGTCGGTTGCATGTTGTTGCTGCTTGTGCGGTGACGTTGTCGTCAGCTTGCGTGGGGGTGGAGACGGCGCGATGGCGTATCGCATGTTGCCATGCGTAGTATCCTCGAAGAAACTACAATTGGAGTCGGTGGGTGGACTTCGGGAGCGTAGTAGCGCAGAGCGGAGGACCAAAGTAGGATACCTCCGCGTGAGCACAGGCATCAGTGAAAGTGTCCTTGCTGGTGTGCGTATGTATATCCATTCTTCCGCGCAGAGCCACTGCACCCCGATGTTCCACGATGTCGGTAGTCCACCAGATAATGCCGTGGATGGTAAAGGGTAGAGCGATAGCTGTCCTCCACAGGACAGCTCCACTACCAAGTTTGATGCTGGTCGGGAGGCCCAACCAGATGCTTCGCTTAAGGCGAAACCCACATCCAACTCTGCTATAACGTAGTAGCGATAGTCCCAAGAGCAGGACAGGTTCGCGGGAGCGACGAGCCATGTCAAGCAAAACTGTTTTCGGTCTCAATGGCAAATAATGTGCCTCGCGATGAGGCGCAATCATATCTTGGCGGCCGGCTGCTTGAGCACAACCGGCCGCGGGCAAACGTTCGCTACCTTTCGCCTTTGCCCAACCTCCTTTCGATCAAAAACACCACGGCTTCAACCTTGAGCCCCCCCCGGGCACCCCTCCTTGACCGCCTCTCGCGGCCGGGGGGGCGCCTCGGGACACCTCGGTTTCAACCTTGAGCGCCTCCCGGCCCCCCCCCCTTTGACCGCGTCTCGCGGCCGGGGGGGGGGCGCCTCAGGACACAACGGGGGGATACCCGAGGAGACAAGAGAGAGAGAGAGAGAGTCAAGATAGCCGAAGAGGCCTCCAAGACACCACAAGAGGCCTCCAGGAGTGCCCCGAAAGGCAAACTCACTGATTTTCCAAAATGGTGTTCGACGGATTTGGGCGTTCTCGCCTGTTCGGCTTCCCGACGCTCCAAGACGGCCCAAAGAGGCACCCGAGACCACCACGAGACGGCCAAGAGGACTCGAAGAGGGCCCCAAGATGGCCTAAGAGCGCCCTAAGACGGCCCAAGAGGCGCCCAAGACGGTCCAAGAGGGCCCCTAGACGGACCCAAAACGGGCCCAAGAGAGCGAGCGCGAATCGAAAATCCGAGCCTTCTGCCCCAAGAAGCCCCCCAGGGGCCCCAAGAGGCGCCCACGAAGCCCCGTCGAGGCCCCAAGAAAGTCCCAAAACTGCCGAGAGACCTCAAAACTGCCTCTGAGAGGCCCCCGAGAGGCCTCCCACAAGATTCCAACGAACGTCCAATAGGCCTCCCACACACGCACACCATGGCGCGCGGGCTGCGGCGGCGCTGGGTCCTGGTTGCCCCTCTCCACCCTTCTCCACCCCCTTGTAGTCCTCCTCCTCCTCCTCCTCCTCTTCCTCCTGCTCCTCCTGGTCCTCCCACTCCTCCTCTTCCCCCATCTCCCTCTGTCCCCTACATTCGACTACCTGAGAGCTTCTAATCTCAGGCTTACCCCCGGTGTGGACGAGGACGACGACGACGACGAAGACGGCGACGACGACGACAAGGACATCGACGACGATGAAAAGGAGGAGGAGAAGAGGAGGAGGAGGAGGGAGGAGGATGTACAGTTCCATGTCAGGGCTATCTTGTTGAATATTGTAGCGCGTTGGGAACCTTTCGGTGCCATCCAGGGTTTTCTGGGGCCTTCTTCGGCTTCCCTTGGGCCGTCCAGGAAATGTCGTGGGACAGTTCGGTACTGTTGTGGCTATCGCGAGGGAAGGGTGTGGGATCTTTGAGCCGTGCTGGTTCTCTCGTGGGGATTGTCTCTTGGGATTCTCGTGTGACTCGCTTGGAGATGCCCTGGGGCGAAATGTAAAAGGCTGGGGAAGGGGAGAGTGCCGCCATCGTGCATGGGTTTTGGATCAGAGGCCTCTTGGATGCAAGTTCGGGTCTCTTGGGAATCCTCTGGGGAGTGTCTTGGAAGCAAGTTTGAAGCCTCTTGGGCCCCTGAGAGGCCGTTTGGGGGTCTCTTCGAGATTATCTAGGGCGTCCTGGGGACATCTTTTTCGAAGGAGGAGAGGACGCTCCTGCGTAACTACGCGACTGCTGAATGTGCAATGGGAGGCCTGCGTCGTGCTCGCAGCAAATGACGACTGTCGGCTCATTGAGCCCGCGCCGCTGCGGAACAACGCAGTCCTCTCACTACTGATGACGACTACTCCAAGGCGTCGGCCACCGCGGTGGCGTCGAAGACGAGTGTCTTAGAGAATCCGGCCAGAAGAGAATCTGCCCAGAAGAGATACCGTGCCATCGACATCACATGCAAGCCTACACAGAAAATCAGCTCTGAACGGCACCGCGTCAGGAAGCCCATCCCAGAGCGGCTGAGCAGAGCGCTCTGTGAAGTTCAGCAAGTGTATAAGTGCAGTGGCTGGTAGTGGCTGGGCGAATGCTAGCGCTGTATTTTCCACGCGGAAGAAGCGAACTAAATGATACCAGAGAAAAACCAAATCAGCGGAGGGATCGACAATTCGTAATCTGGATATTGAGATCGATTGTGATATCGGTAGTGAGATCGATAGTGAGGAGAATAGTAAGGTCGACCATGAGACCGACAGTGAAGTCGATTCAGTGAGATCGCTAGTGAGATCGATTGTGAGACCGCTCGTGCGATCCAGAGTGTAGTGGAATCGATAGTGAGATGGTGGGTAATTAGATCGATGCTGAAACATATTCATACGGAGATGGAGCAAGACCCCGGGAACCCTGAAACCCGAGAACCATGCCGCCCACTGAAATCGTCCTGGAATCAACCACCAGGAATCCCGGAACCCCGAACGGGGAACCCGGGAACCCGGCCGCCTACCGAAATCGGCCTAGAACTTTCGCCAAATCTCTCAATACCCCTAGGACCCCTTCAGTGCAAGTACCTATTGCGGAATCAAGCAGCTAATTACCCTGGCGACAGACCCAATCATATGCAGCTGCGAATAACGAAAGATAATACCTTCTCATCATAGGCAGCGCAGCGCGAAAGGGACGTTACACGGGACAACGCTGATGGAAACCCCGAAACGTGTGCGGTGTGCCGAAGTGGGCCAGGGGACGCATGCGGGCGCTGCCACTGGGGCCTTCGGTGGAGCTCCCTATGGGGCCACGAAGCGTGAAAGGCGTGTGCCAAAATACGCAGAGGAAGGCGTACGAACCCTGCAATGGGGGCTTCGGTGGAGCTCCCAGTGGGGCCACGAAACGTGTGAGGGGTGTGCCGAAATGGAGCGGGGCCGCCATGCGAACACTGCCGCTGAGGCCTGCAGTGGAGCCCCCTTCTGGGGCCACGAAACGAATGAGTGGTGTGCCGAAATGAGGCGGGGCCGCCATGCGAACCTTGCCACTGCGGCCTTCGGTGGAGCTCCTTATGGGAAGAAGAAATGTGCGAGGGAGCTGGCGAAATGGGGCGGGGCCGCCATGCGAAACTGGCCACTGGGGCCGTCGGTGGAGCTCCCTATGGCGCGAAACGTGTGAGGGGTGTGCAGACATTGGGCGGGACAGCCATGCAAACCCTGCAACTGGGGCCTTCGGTGGAGCTCCCTGTAAGGCCAGCGAAACGTGTGAGGGGTGAGCCAAAATACGCAAAGGAAGGCATACGAACCCTGCAATGGGGCCTTCGGTGGAGCTCCCAGTGGGGCCACCAAACGTGTGAGGTGTGTGCCGAAATGGAGCGGGGCCGCCATGCGAACACTGCCGCTGAGGCCTGCAGTGGAGCCCCCTTCTGGAGCCACGAAACGTGTGAGCGGTGTGCCCAATTGAGGCGGGGCCGCCATGCGAACCTTGCCACTGCGGCCTTCGGTGGAGCTCCCTATGGGAAGAAGAAATATGCGAAGGAACTAACGAAATGGGACGGGGCCGCCGTGCGAACCTGGCCACTGGGGCCCTTGGTGGAGCTCCCTATGGCGCGAACCGTGTGAGGGGTGTGCAGACATTGGGCGGGACAGCCATGCAAACCCTGCAACTGGGGCCTTCAGTGGAACTCCCTGAAAAGGTCAGCGAAACGTGTGAGGGGTGAGCCGAAATGTGGCGAACCCTGCCACTGGGGCCTTCGGTGGAACCGCCTTATGGGGCCACGAAGCGTGAAAAGCGTGTGCCAAAATACGCAGAGGAAGGCCTACGAACCCTGAGATGGGGGTTTCGGTGGAGCTCCCAGTGGGGCCACGAAACATGTGAGGGGTGTGCCGAAATGGAGCGGGGCCGCCATGCGAACAATGCCGCTGAGGCCTGCAGTGAAGCCCCCTTTCTGGGGCCACGAAACGAATGAGTGGTGTGCCGAAATGAGGCGGGGCCGCCATGCGAACCCTGCCACTTGGGCCTTCAGTGGGCTCCCTACGCAGCCACGACACGTGCGAGGGGTGTGCCGAAATGGAGCGGGGCCGCCATGCGAACACTGCCGCTGATGCGGAACCGAGGGGTACAATACTCCTACCCCTCCCAGTTCCACAGCGGGGTCTGGCGGCGGGGCGCGGCAGCGCCCGAGGGGCAGATGGCCTTTCTCAACCTCGTGCTCACGCGTCTGTAGCACAATTTCGCCTCAAGCCGGCTCGAGCCGAGCCGGTTGCAAGAAAGAAAAAGAGGAGAGGGGGACAAAAGGGAACAGGAAGAGGGTCATAAGGGGCTAAAAGGCGGGAGCAGGGGACATATCCAATCCGAAAGGCTCGTCTTTCCTCACGGATTCTCAATATTTGTGGATCTGTGCCCGGTTCAATGGCCGACCTCTGATAGGCAAACCATCAAAACAGTTACCCAGGATAAAGTCGCCATGGTCGCGAGCCACGGCGGCGACATCTCAATATGAAGCGAGCCCGGAACCAACGCTGCCGGGCCCCTGAAAACACACGCAGAAAAACTCGGTCCATAATTCCTGTCATTCTCTCTCACGGTACACAAACGGACCAGCCGGTCCAATCGGATATACGTATTCCGAGGATGAGGGGGAGAGGGTAGATAATTAGCACCACACCGCACTCGAACGTACAAACTTGCACTAGCCTCGGCAGTGCACGAGCTTAGACAATTGAGGAGGAAAAGAGAGCGTCAAACTTCTCACTATGTCTCGAGAGCTCCTGGCGTGAACTTTCCATACTTACTGAGTTCTCGCATCTTGGCCGTCCATCGCTCTCGAGCTACTCGCCTCGCAGTCCTCACCATCTCTTCTCGAAGCTCGATACTCCATGTGCCACGCTCTAACGTCTCTCGAAGATGGTCCGCTGGCATGTCCTTCGTCAAAACGTCACTCAACATGTTGGTCCCGTCCATCCAGCGCACCATCGTCTACGGCCTATCTAGAATCTCCCTGATGCTGGCCAACTCCAGGTTTACCGACTTCTGCGCCGAGCTGCCCACGCCGGCGTCTGAGTTGAGCCTGTCGTGGCCGTCCTTCGAGACCGTCACAATCGTCATCGGTATCTGCCACCCGGACAGATTCATGCCAGCGCCCCTCGCCACGGGGCCGTACAACATTTCCGCGATCTGGTCGCGCACGCCTTGGGCCACGTCCACCGCGTCGCCCGCGGAGATCACCTCGGCCGCGTAGGAGCTCCGCGACGCGCGCTTCAGCTTGTGGCTCTTGCCCTCCAGCCGCGAGAACCGGCCCGCGCCGCCGTCCACGAGCGCGCGGTCCGCGAACAAAATGAGAAAACCTGCCTGGGTGCCGATCTTCTCGGTTGCCGGGTCCGACTGCAGCGCCGCCCCGTCGCTCATCACGTTGCCCAGCGAGCTGTCCGACGCCGCCGCCACGCCGAACCGCTCGAGGTCAATCGGGCGCATCACTATCTTGAACGTCGAACTGCGCTTCAACTCCCTCAGCATCTGGTTGGCCTTGATCAGTGCCGAGACCCGCGACCCCTTCTTGCGGCCCTTCTCGCGCTGCAACACCGCCAGATCGTAGAAGTAGTCCACGCGCAGCTTGGTCACCAGCCAGTTGATATTGCCGACTACCTGCTGGCACTGCTTCCACTCCGTCGCATTCATGGGCTCATGCGCTCCCGCGCGCCGCGCCCCGGGCACAGTCACAGGCTCCAGGCCGGCCACGTACTCCACCATGTCGATCGTGATGGCCCCCCCAGGCTGTCGCTGAAATCGCCTGCCGCAGAACGCAAAGTTATCGTTCTCCTCACTGCCGATGCCGAACTCCTTCCCGAACGCGTCCATGACCTTCGCCATGTTCTCATTCCCCGTCCAGAGGAAATCGTCCACGTGAATGCAGACACAACCCCACATCGTGTCCGGCCCGCGCTGCTGCGCCTGATTCGAGTCGTGGAACACCAGGATGGCAGGGTCCGAGCGAGAGGGTTCCAGTCCCAGCTTGCGCGCTGCTGAGACCACCTTCAGGCACCACAGCCCCGGCGCCGTGGGCAGCCCGAACACGCCCTTCCGAACTCGCGCCAGCCGACCTCGTGGGAAGTCCGCCAGCGAGGGACCGTGCATCGGAGCGCGGATCACCAGGCCGCGCTCGTTCACTTCGCCCCTCAGGAACGCACCGCTCACGTCCTTGGACCCGAACTTCCACTCTGGGTGTGACGCCGCCACCTGCGTCAAGATCATCTCCGACTGGGTGGTAGCACAGGGAGCGTCCACCCTCACGTCAGCCTTCTCGTCCGAACGTCCAGGTTCGCCACTGTTGACCACGAGCCTCGCGTTCGCCTTCATCGGCAGGTCGTTCGCCTCCGTCCTCAGCGGGTCGTTCTTGTCGGTCAGCACCCACCGCGTGCTCATGATGTAGTCGCTCTTGCCGTCGCGCTTCATCTGCTCCTCGAGCTCGGCGGACTCCTTCTCCAGCAGCACCTCCACGGACTCCGTGTCGATCCACTTCGCCCGCTGCGCCGCTGCCGCCCCCTCGTAGTTCGCCTTCCTCGGCGGGTCCATCCGACTCCAGGTCTTCTCCTTCCGGGCCTGACCCTGCACGAGCATCGCCTCGAACTTGGGATCGGTCACCGGCACTACCTCCAAGTGATCCAGGAATATTCGTCGATCCGCTTCAGGAGCACCTTTAAGCCACGCTTTCGCTCGTTTCTTCGCGCCCTTGACCCAGAGCGCCTCGTCGGGGCGCTTGGGCCCCGGTGGTCCATCACGTCCTCCACGAGACGGCGCCTCGGGCAACTCAGCCTCCACCACGTCGCGCTTCCTGCCTTGAGACTGGACCTCAAGCTCCGCAGACGCCGACTCCACCGCGGGCGTGCTGAGACTCGAAGCATTACCTTCACGTCCTAGCTCTTCGTCTTCAGCGTCTTCGGCGCGTGGAGTTCTCGGCGCGAAATTGCCGCGGGGTCCGAACTGTCCATCTGGAATAACATTCGCCACCGTTGCTGCAGCAATAGAGGGCCTCGATCGCTCGCGCACCTCTCGGACCTGCTTCTGGATAGTCTTCGCCACGCGCATCGCCTTGGACGTGCGCGGGTCCTCGCCGTGAGCCCGCAGCCGCTGCGCCACGTTCTGCAGGAAGTCAGTCTTCCCCCTCTCCCGAGAACTCGTCTTCCTCGAGAACTCGGCGCTCGAGATGGGCCCGAGCTCGTCACTGGCCGAAGCGCCGGCCATCGCAGCCACGACGGCCGACGGCGGGATTCCCTCCGTCGACTCCTGATGCCCCTGCTCGCCGCGCTCCTCGACGTCTTCGCCAGCCTGAGAAGGTCGAGCCTCAGCCTCCGGCGCTTCACCTTCGTCGGCTGGTACGACGTCGCCCTCGTCCTCACGCGCCTTGGTCGCGCTCTCCATGTCGAGCTCCCCGTCAGCCTTCATGTCGAGAAGAGCCCTCTCCATGATGTCCAAGTGCTCTCTGGCACTGATGCCCAGCGCCTCGTCGGGCGACGCGCGACGGACTGCCGCAGGGTCGCACTTGGTCGGCAGCCCCTCGTACGAGACGTAGATGGCTGCCGGCTCAACACCGATCACGACAGCCGGCCCATGCCAGGCCTTGAAGATCGAGGACGGGCCCCTCTTCCGCTGATTCTTGCGCTTGCCCTCGCGGTAGAAGTAGATCGCGTCGCCGAGCTTCACATTCGTGCTGGGAGGCATCTGGCGGCTGCGAGCAACTAAAGCACGTCGCAGTCGCTTGCTGGTGTCCAGCTTCTCCAAGGCCACCTTCGCCGCACTGTAGACTTGCAGCCGCTTCGTCATATACGGGTCGTTGTCCACCGCCTCGTGCGCCGCGATCTGGGAGCGACCGCGCTCGCTGAGTAGTCCCCACGGCAGTGTCTGGGACCGCCCCAACAGAGTTGCGCCGGCGAAAACCCGGACTCGTTGATCCGCTGGTTCTTGGCCCAGGTGACCATCACTGCGGCAGCCGTCACCTCGAGCTCGGTCTCGATGTCCGTCTCCGTGGTACTGGCCTTCCAGAGCACCTTCCACTCGCCTCCAGCACGTTCGCACATACCGTTCTGCCACTGCGCCTCCACTGCCGTGAACCAAACTTGCACTCCGCAGCCCTCCAGCAAGCGAAACACCTCTTTATAGAACTGGCCGCCGCTGTCGCACACCAACGAGTTGGGCGCGACAGCCCAGCTGAACCAGACCAGCTCCAGCGCCTGGGCCACAATGCCGGGATGCTTGCTCTTGAAGGGCGCGACCACCTGGAAGCCCGTCTTGATGTCCACAATGTTGAGCATCTCCAGCGCCACGCCCGAGTTCGTGTGCACAGTGAACAGGTCGATCGCGATCTGTTCCCCGAACTCCTTCACCTTCTTGAGCCGTGCGGGGAATCTGGTGTGTCCGATCGCCGGTCTGTTCATCTCGTGACACACCGGGCACTGCGACTGCACCGCAGCCGCGATGGCCTCGTCGCTTGCCCCACACGCGCGGAACGCCCTCACGAGCTGATCCTTCGAGGGATGTCGCAGGTTCTTGTGGATTCTGAGCACCGCGTTCCGCGCCTCCTTCGAGACCTTCGTCTCCTTTCACCGTCGTCATATCCTCCTGGGGCTCCTCGGCGGCGCGAGCAGGCGCACGCCAAATCGATATCGGGCACCGAGGAGACACGATCGAGGGGTCGCCGAACATCGCTAGTTACGTTGGGTTCTGAGCACAAAGCCCGCGCACTGTTTTTGACAATGGAAAGCGGGGCTCGCGGACCTCGTTAGGCAACGACAATTCGAAATGGGGGGCGCATCATCCTAGAGCGGGCACGTGCGAAGCATTGATTTTTCCACGCCGAATGGGACTTCGCTACGTTTTCTATCAAGCGGGAGCGCTCTCGGGGTGCGCCGACAGGCATCGCGCGCGAGCGGGCGCGCGGGGAAGCGCCCTCGGAGTGCGCCAGAGTGCGCCGCGCACGAGCGGGCACGCTCATAGTCGAGATCCGGCACAGAGCAGATAACATCGAGGGGCCGCCGGACTTCGTTATTTACGCGGGGTTCCGAGCAAATTGCCCGCACCTCGTTGTTTTACCATGGAAAGCAGGGCTCGCGGGCCTCGTTAGGCAACGAGGATCCGATATTGGGGGTGCATCATCCTCGAGCGGGCGCGCGAAGCGTTATTTGTTCCATTCCGAATGGGCCGATGCATCGCGCTCCAACGAGGGGCCCTATTTCCAACGCTAACGGGCCCCGCAGCACACCCCGCAGACCCTAATACGTAGTGTAAATCCTACACCCTAAATTCCCAGCACCTCGTTGCGCCTCGGCCAACCCACCGCGCATCACCGTCGCCGCTAGGAATATACAAGGCATCTCTGAGATGCTTCAGCTGGTTGCCTGAGTGGGTCGCCCATGCAGCCGTCGGCTGCCCCCCTTCGGGGAGTCGCAATTCAACGATAACCCCCCTGATCCGCGAAGAATATAACACCCTAAACCCGGGGGCCTTTCACCTCTGATTTGCCCCCGTGCTCCTCCGACGCGTAAAAGCACGCGTGGGGCGCTCTCAGCGCCTCTGGGCGCACTTGGGAGCGCCTGGGAGCTCCTGGAAGCGCCGAGGAGCGCTTGGTAGCGGCGCCTGGGAGCTGGGATCGCTTGGAAACGCCAGGAACCGCCTGGGTGCGCTTGGAGCGCCTCGCAGCGCCTGGGTTCGCTGGGGAGCGCCTGGGAGCGTCCGGGAATCCTTGTGAGCGCCTGGGGGCACTGGGAGCGCCATGTAGCTTCGGAAGGCTCAACGCTCGGCGACCGCGCCCCGCCGCAGAATCCTTCCCGCTGCCGCCCATTGGGGAATTTAGGGGCCAGCGGCCCTAAACCCTAAAAGGTTTTGGTTTGGGAGGTCGCCGGCCATGCGGCCGGGGGTGGGAAGTGGTTGCAACTCTTGCGTCGTCGGCAGGCTAGATCGGGTCGGTTCAACGCCCCCCAATCAAGCCTGCCGAAAGGGGGGGCAGCCTTGCCCAGACTGTCGGCCGCTGCGCGCCCGACAAGCCCCAAATTCTTGCTCCGAAAATTACTAAACCCTGAACACAGACAAACACGGGTACATGCGCTAACAGACGATAACATACGACCCGGCATGTAAACCGGCGCCATCCTTTGCACAGAAATAATATGTCCTGTTCATGCGTGCAGAACCCATTGCGATTTACAATACAAATGCGCGTCCGCGGACGCAAACCCTCGCCATCCCTTGCAACAAAAAACGATGTCCTGATCATGCGTGCGCAATCCATTGCGATTCACAATGCACATGCGCGTCCGCGGACGTAAACCCTCGCCATCCCTTGCCAAAATATTTTGTTATGATTATGCGTTCATACACCGATGAAACTGTCCTTACCAAGTGCGCCGCTGTCGCAGAATCCTGTGTTTTACTATATGACTTCCATGATGTTGCAGGCGCTCACAACGCTTCCAGGCGCTCCCAAGCGCTCCAGGCGTTCCCAAGCGCTCCCCGGCGCTCCCAAACGCTCCCAGGCGCTTCCAGCCTTTCCAAGCGTTCCCAAGCGCTCCCAGGCGCTCCCAGGCGCTCCCATGCGCTCCCAAGCGCTCCCATTCGTTGTACTTACAACGAGGGGAGAGATGATCTTTATGGTAGGGTGGTTTGCGGGTGGGACTGGCAGCCACCGCAGGTGGGCTCCTAGGCAGGAGGGGACCAGCTGCGGCAGAGCTTGTAGACCCTAGACCCTAAACCCTAACCCCCCAGAGTCTGGATTCCTGGTTTCCGGATTCCCGGATACAAAGGTTCCCGATTCCCGGATTTTGAATTCCAGATTCCGGATTCCGGATTCCGGATTCCCGGATTCCGGATTCTGGAGTCCGGATTCACGTTAGAGCCAGTTTTTGTTGTTTAATGCCCTGGAGGGGTCGGAGAGACACGACACCTGATAAATCACAGGTATCCGAAAACGGTCCTCGCTCAGGCGGGGCTTGCCTGCAGGGTGGGAGGAGTACGGAATCATACGAAATCATATGGTGTGGTGTTGCATGATATCTTGTGGAATCATACGAAGTCATATGGTATGGTGTTGCATGATCTCGTATGGTAGTCTTAAGGTATTATATGGTAAGGTATGACATGGTGTGTCTGGTTTTTCGATGGCATGTGGAACAGGAAGCGGGAGAAGGAGAGAGTGTTCTTGGAGAACAAGAACCCACTCATAATGTGGGAAAACAGAAGTCTCTGCCGGAGAATGCAACACGTGCATGGGCCTCACGGGGGAGGGATATTCCTGACGACAACACTGGGTGTGCTGGCCATCGTGTGGACGTCCTCCACGAAGAAACATCGCATGCGCTCTCCTAGTTAAAAGGTTCTGTAACCAATGGATATTTCAGATAATTGGAAGCAACCACTTGCACCTGCAACGGAATGTTGTTTGCCACGACTCTGCAGCGAGGGTCGTGACAGCGCGGACAGTTTGTTCCACATCGCTTATGATAGCACCCAGCGAGGCAACCAGTCCTCTTACCCTTTGCATGGGCCTTCCAAGGTGTGCTACACCATGGCGGTGCCAGAAAAGGTCTTTGTGGCGGCGGCCGGCCAGCTTCTTCATTGGCGCCAACGTCTCTCTGCCCGTATCCCGCTGGGACGTCGTCGACGGAATCGAAAATGCAGAGCCCCACCGAAGGCGAGGGAGACAAGCAATCTTCCTCCGTGAAATCATAGTCGACGCTGGTGTCAAGCCTGGTGAGCGGCAACACTGCGGAAGATGTCTCGCTGCGCACCTGCCGCTGGGAGGGCGTACGATCGGCGGCGCCAGGAGGGCACGAACTGACACGAGGCATGCGCCAGGGTTCAGCATGTGTGCTTTCGGTGCACTCAGCGTCGATGAATGTGTTCTTGGCCACCACGCGCAACTGCATATTGGGTGAAAAATTAAAACGGTGGTTGCGGTAGTGCGAGCTTCTGGGCTGGGCTAGAGAAGGCAATGTGTTGGGTCCTTCTTGAACCTAAAATGGCTAGTTACTGCGTCCTGGGGGCATCTTGGGGGCTTCTTGGGGGCCTGCTGGCAATCTCCGTGGCCTCCCTGAGGCGGAGAGCTCGAAATGTGAGTTCGAATCCTTCTTTGGGGGCCGTCTTGTGCTCCTCGTGGGCCGTCTTCAACCTCTCTTAGGCAGCTTTGATGCCTCAAAGGGGCCCATTTGGCAGTCTTGAGGCAATATTGGAGGAGCAGTTGTGCCGTCTTCGAGCAATGAAAAACCTAAATGGTGAATGAGCTAAAATATACGTTTCCCCGAGGGAATGGGACGACTTGGGCGTTTAGGGGCCCTCTTCGAGGGGCTCTTGGAGCTTTCTTGGGCCTTCTGGGGGCCCTGTTGGCCGTCTTAAAATAATATGTTGAGTGGTCTAGGAGTGCTCTTGGGGCGCTCTCGGATCGTCTTGGAGGCCTCTTGGGCTGTCTGGACGGCATCATGGGTGTTCTGGGGGCGCTCTCGGGGCCGAAAACGGGTCCCGGACCCCGGGGGCCAAATTCGGTTGCACAAGCTGTGTACCCATCCATCATTCTGCACCGCGGGGGGCTGGGGGGCCCAACACCACATACATAAGCACATACGTATACATATACTAGAACCATCGCGCGCGTTTCGCGCGCGTTCAAGTTCTAGCTAGGGTCATGATCATCGTCAGCAGTGTCATCCGCATCCCTGTCATCTTCATCATCATCATCATCATCATCATCATCATCATCATCAGCATCATTATCATCATCAGCATCATCATCATCATCATCATCATCATCATCATCATCATCAGCATCATCATCATGGCCATGGTCACCTTCACCATCACCATCACAACAATCATCACTATCACCATTATCATCAGCATCGTGATCACCATCGCCATCATCGTCATCGTACGTTTCAACATCATCACCCGCATCATCAACATCTTGTTGGTCGTCGTCGGCATAGTCATCCTCATCATCATCCGCGTCATCGCCGTCATCATCCCCGGTCCACTGCAGTCCCCTTACCCTCCTCCTCTTCCCATTATTCCTCTTCCCATCATCTTATACTCATCATTTTCCTCGTCGGCGTATCCCTGAAAGGGATCCCTGTTCCTTCACCTCCTCCTCCTTCCTCCTCCTTCTCCTCCTCCTCCCTGTCTTCCTCGCTCTTCGGTGTGTCCCTCCTTGTCCTTGTGTTCCTTCACCTACTTCACCTCCTTCCTCCTCTCGAGTCCTCTTCATCCTGCGCCCCCCTTCCTTCCCCGTCCTCAGCATCCCTCCCCGAGCCAGAAAATCAGAAAACTACATAATATTACAAGAACAATGTCCTTCCTCCTCTTCCACCTCTTCGTCCTCCTGATTTTCCTCCCCCTCCTGCTCCTCCACCTCCTCCTCCTCCTCCTCCTCCTGCTCCTCCTCCTCCTCCTCCTCCCTCCTCTCCTCCTCCTCCTCCTCCTCCTCCTCCTCCTCCTCCTCCTCCTCCTCCTCCTCCTCCTCCACCTCCTCCTCCTCCTCCTCCTCCTCCTCCTCCTCCTCCTCCTCCTCCTCCTCCTCCTCCTTCTCCTCTCTTCTCTCAACGCACCCAATACACGGGTGCCTGCTGGAACGCGTGCGGGAAGCCGTTTTGGAAGCATTGTGGCAGTCTCTGGAGCCTCTCCGGGCCTTCCTTTGGAGTCCTTTGAGGCCTTTGTTGGCCCGTCTGAGGGCCCATGTCGGTCGTTGGGGAGCTCGGCCCGTCTTTGGGCCCTCCCGACCATGTAGGAATCCTCTGGTGGCCCCCTCGGGCTTCCTGGGTACTCTCTGGGGCCGTCTTGTAGCTCTTCTGTGCCGCTTGAAGCTCTTCTTCAGCCCATCTCGGAACCCTCTTGGGACCTCTGGGGCCGTTTGGGGCCCATTTTGGTAACCTCTTGGGCCATCGCGACCGCTGGTAGAACTGGACAGCGAGGCTCCCAGAAATATACGTTTTTACATGGGAGATGCTTGATTTTTGCCTTTGGAGGGCCTTCTCAGCGGCCTCTTGGACAGTCGTGCGGGGGTCATTTTGAGCATTTTGTCGCCCGTATGGGAGCCCATTTCGGCTGTCCCAAGCCCCTCTTGGCATGTCATGGGTAGCTGAGCCGTCTTGGGGCCCTCATGGAGCCCTCTCAGACCATGTAGGGATCCTCCGGTGGCTCCCTCGGGCCCCCTGGGGACTCTCTCGGGCTGTTTTGGAGCTCTCTTGTGCTGCTCGACGCTCTCTTGAGGCTGTCTTGGAGCCCTCTTGGGGGCCTCGTGGACCGTATGGCGCCGATTTGGGGAGCCTTTGGGGGCGACGCGGCCGCTGATGGAACATGAGAAGCCAATATTAGAAGTGTACGCTTTTCCATGGGCCTGGGAGCCTTCTCAGCGGCCTCCAGGACCGTGTTCAGGGAATCCTGGTAGGCCTTCTTTAGACCCTCTGGGAGCCCAGTTCGGCCGTTCCGGGTCCCTCTTCGCCCGTCATGGGGACCTGAGCCCGTCTTGGGGCCCTCGGGGGGCCCTCTCCAACCATGCGAGGACCCTCCAATGGCCCCCTCGGGGTTCCTGGGTAGTCTCTTGGGCCGTGTTGGGGCTCTCCTGTGCTGCTTGAAGCTCTCTTCAGGCCGTCTGGGGGCCCTCTTGGGGGCCTCTTGGGCCGTCTGGGGCTCATTTTGGGAGCCTCTGGGGCCGTCGCGGTCGCTGGCAGGACTGAACAGCACATATCTAAGAAATATACGTCTTCCCAAAAGAAATGCTTGATTTGTTGCCCTTGGAAGGCCTTCTCGGCGGCCTCTTGGACCGTTTTGAATGATTGTGTGCTTCCAGCGCTCGTGGCCCGTCCAAATGCCATCTGAGTCCGCTCTTCAGCCACCTTCTAGACAACCTGGGGCACTTTGGGCGCATCTTGGGCCAGCTTGGGAGCCTCTGGGGGGGTCCGGGGCTCCTTCTGAACCCTGTTGGGGCCCTCAAGGCCCCCCCGTCCCCCCATACGAACCAAAGGCAGCCGTCCTCGGCCCTCCCCCGACCTACTCCGATATCTCTCTATGTATACACACATGTATATATGTGTGTTGTGTGCATGTGTATATATGTTTATATGTATATATATATGTGTATGTATATAGGTGTGTCTGTCTGAATAAGTGTATACGTGAACCATATATATATGTGCACATGTACAAATGTGTATGTGTAACATCGTGTATGTGTACATGTGTGTATGCATATGTGTAATTGTGTACGTGTATACGTGTATATGTGTTGATATGTTTGTGCGTATGTGTGCATACGCATGTATATGTATATATATATATATATGTGTATATATATGTGTGTGTGTTTAAGTGTATATGTGTGCACGCGTATGTGTGTATATGTGTATATGTGAAGATGCGTATACGTGTATATGTGTATATGTGTATACGTGTATACGTGGACAGGTGAAAATATACAGTTGTGTATATGTGTATAGGTGTAGATGTGTATATGTGTATATGTGTACATGTGTCTCTGTGTATCTGTGTATATGTGTGTATGTGTATTTACATGTGTGTGTGCGTGTGTGCGTGCGTGTGTGCATGCAGTGTGTGTGATTGTGTGTGATGTGTGTGATGTGTGTGATGTGCGTGTTGTGTGTGGTGTGTGCGCGTTGTGCATGTGAGCTGTGTGTTGTGTGTGTTGTGTGTGGTGTGTGTGCTGTGTGTGTTGTGTGCTGTGTGTTGTGTAGTGCGTGTGTGATGTGTGTATGATGTGTGTTTGTGTTGTGTGTGTTGTGTGTGGTTTGTGTGGTGTGTTGTGTGTTGTGTGTGTTGTGTGTGATGTGTGTGGTGTGTGTGTGTGTTGTGTCATGTGTGTTGTTTGTGTTGTGTTTTGTGCGTGGTCTGTGGTGTGTGTGTGTGTTGTGTGCTGTGCGTGTTGTGTGTGCGTGTGTTGTGTGTGGTGTGTGTTGTGTGTGTGCGTGCGTGTGTGCGTGTATGCGTGTGTGTGTGTGCGTGCGTGCGTGCGTGCACGCGTGCGTGCGTGCGTGTGTGTGTGTGTATGTTCTGTGTTGTGCGTTGTGCGTTGTGTGTCGTGTGTTGTGTGTTGTGCGTTGTGTGTTGTGTTGTTTGGTGTGTGTTGTGCGTGTTGTGTTGTGTGGTGTGCGGTGTGTGGTGCGTGGTGCGTGGTGCGTGGTGTGTGGTGTGTGTGTGTTGTGTGCTGTCTGTTGTGTATTGTGTGTTGTGTGTTGCGTGGTGTGTGGTGTGTGGTGTGGTGTGTTGTGTGGTGTGGCGTGTGGTGTGTGTTGTGTGGTGTGTGTGTTGTGCTTTACGTTGTGTCATGTGAGATGTGTGTTGTGTGTTGTGTGTTGTGTGTGTGCGTGCGTGTGCGTGCGCGCGTGCGCGTGCGCGTGCGTGCTCGCGTGCGTGCGTGTGTGTGTATGTGTGTGGTGTGTTGTGTGTGTGTGTTGTGTGTGTGTTTGTTGTTGTGTGTGTGTTGTTGTGTGTGTTGTGTGTGAGTGCGCGCGTGCGTGCGCGTGCGTTTGCGCGCGCGTGCGCGCGTGGAATTGCCCCGGCCCAAGAGAACTCACCGATTCTCCGGGAAAGGCCGCGCGCCCCCCAAATCTCCCCGCGCTTCCCCGCTGGACATTTGCAGCGGCAAGAGGGCTCTGAAATTGGCCAAGAGGGCCCCATGAGGCCCCCAAGACGGTCCAAGAGGGCTTTGAGTCGACCCAAGAACGCTCCGAGAAGCCCAAGATGGCCTCAAGAAGGCAGAAAAAAAAGCGCGCTCCGAAGGCGCCCCAAGAGGGCTCCAATAGGCCCACCAAGAGGACCCCAAGGGGGACAAATCTGCGAGTGGTTTTCAATGTTCGAAAGATTTCAGCGCCCCCACCATTTCGGACTGCCGACGCTCCAAGACGGCACAAGAGGCACCTATGATCGCCGCAGCGCGGCCCAACAGGCCCCCAAGACGGACTCTAAAACGGCCCAAGAGAACCTCAAGATGGCCCAGGAGGCCCTCAAGAAGTCAGAAAAAAAGAAAACTCGAACCGACGCGTCGGGCCATGCACCCCAAAATGTCCACCGAGACCGCCAGCAGGCCTCTCAGAGCCCCCCAAGAAGCTCCAGGGGGGCCCCGATTGATTCAAAAGAGGCCCCCAGGATGCCCCCAAGAGGACCCAAAACACCCCAAAACCACCTCCGAGAGACTTGGGAAACGAACGGACGAACTTCGCCATCGCCAGGAGGCCCGGCGCCCCTGCAAGGGAGGCAGGCGTGCCTGTAGCATGCAGGCCTTCTACGAAGGCTACTGGAAGCGGAATTGGAAATCGAAGACTACTCGCACAGCACCACGCGTGCTGCACCAAATGCTGCTCGCTCTTGCCACGCTGACTGATTCGATGCCCTTGCCGCCAAAGAATGCCACGCGACATGTTTTGCGCATTATAAGCAAATCGTCGCATCTGCTGAACCGCCCCGGCCGGGGGCGAATCGGGCAACCGACTGTTCCCCCCGACAGCTCTTCCCACCGCCGGTGGCCCCTCCATTGCGTCATCTGTTAGGTCTACAGGTTGGCTGGCATGCAGATCTGCCCCGCCCATTTCCACTTTGATTCAAATAAAATACAATCCCGCATGAGATCCCCAGAGTCATCCAGGAGGCCTCTGACCTACAATCCAAACATGGTGGCGGGATGACCCGAAAGCCACTAGATCGGCCACCCGCTTTTGATGTATAAAGGGGTGCCTGGCGTGCTAAATGACTCAGCGCTTGAAGCCCTTTGGGGCCCTCATTACCCGAATCGCCTCCAAGATGGGCCAGATTGCCCAACGTGACATGCCTCCAACATGGCCGAGACGGCCCACGATGGCCTCCAAGACGGTCCCAAGATGCCTCCAAGACGGCAGCGATGATCCCAAAACTGCCAAGATGGCCTCAAGACGGCCCAAGATGCCTTCCTGACGGCCCAAGCGGACCCCAGGACGCCCCAAGAGGGCCCGATAGACCTCCAAGACTGCCCTCAAGCGCCTAACGAGGAACTCTGCTCGTGCTATCGTCGCACAAATGTTTACGCACACCAACCATAATGTTGCTTTGAACGGCGTTTAAACTATATCGCGGGATTTGTCAACCTACAGAACGTCGAATGCACGAGTCTGCAACCTGTAGGGCGCCGAAATAGGGCTCCTACTCGAGCTATCGTCGAAACGCTTGTTCCGCACTGCATCGATTCTGCTGTGTCAAAACTGTTTTGACTGGGTCTCAGAATCATGAGCAGCTGCAGAGCTCTCTGGTGCATGATGAGGTCCGGCATCGCGTGGCACATCAGTCTGCAACCTCGAGGGCGCATTGCACGCCCGCAGAAGCCACCAGGGGGCCCCAGAGGCCCCGTGAAGCCCCCAAGAAGCCGCTCAGGGGCCACCAAGAGGCCCCCAGGAAGCCCCCAGGAGGCCCCAAGAGGGCCTCAACAAGCCTCCTCGTTTTCCTCCTCCCGCTATTTCCCGCTATTTGACGCGCCAGAGGGGCCAGCGCCCTGAAGCGCAGCGCGGCGGCCGCTGGCGGCCGACAGAGGGGCGGTGCGGAAGGCCCGCTTCAATGTCCTGGAGTATTTTAAGCTCACGAGAGAAAGCGAAAAAAGGAGACGGCCCGGTTGGGCCCTGCACCGGTCGGCGAAGGGCCCGAGGGGCCGAGGGCCCGCGGGGCCCTGGCCTTCGGCTCGGCGAGGGCCCACCCGCCTCGGCGGGGCCTAGCTGAGCTCGTCCGCCGAGTCGGGGGCGGCGGGGCCCTCGGGCCGCGTCGGAGGCGGCGAGCCCACCCGCGCCTGGCCTCTGCGATGCGCTCCATCTGGCCCAGCGCGAGGTGCTCCGCGTCGCGCTTGCGTCCGCCGCTGTGCACCTGCTGGTCCAGCGCCAGAGGCTCTGCGTCGCCGAAGGCCTGCGGGGGCCGCCGCGCCTGGCCTCCTCGATGTCCGCCATCTGGCCCAGCGCGAGGAGCTCCGCGATGCCGTCGGCCTCCGCGTATGCTCCCTCTGGCCCAGCGCGAGGAGCTCCGCGTCGCAGTCGGCCTCCTCGCCGTGCCCCACCTGGCCCAGCGCGAGGAGCTCCGCGTAGCAGTCGGCCTCCGCGACGCGCTTCTGCGAGCTCCTCCACATGCGAGCGCGAGCGCCCAGCTGGCTGCTGAGGCCTTGCCTTCGGTGCTGCTGGTAGTTGGTGTACTGGTGGTGCGGTGGGTCGCTGTGGGTAGTGGTGGGCATGCGGCGTGGGTCGTTGCGGTTGTTGGTCGCGCCCCCATCGAGGGTCCAATCTCGTCGAATTAGGAATGTAGGTCCCTAGTTAATTAGCGGAAGCAGTGTTTCCAAAATTAGCGGGCGCAAGGTTTTCCAACATTTGGCTTAGCGTTCGCAAAATCGCTCGCGTCGGGCCCGTCGCCCCCCCCGTGCAGGAGGGAACAGAAGAAGGAGGGCGGGCGGGAAGGCGCTCGCACGATCCGAAGCCATTTTGGGCCAAGCCAATCTTAATGTTTGTCGCATGCGATATTGCATGGTGCTTGTGCGCCGTATGATGTCTGATGCGCGCGTGAAGAATGCGGCTTCGGCGGAGAGCATGGAGAACATGGTGAAGTCATGCCAGAAAGAGATACTAGCCCTGAAGGTTTATTCGTCCGACGTGGACGACGTGGTCGCCAACGGCATGGGTTTCTTGGGCGGTTGCATCCAAATCTCGCATCGGACCTCTGAGCCTGAACTGCGAGACGCGGTCATCCATGAGCTCGGCATGCCGAGGCTGGCGCAAGCGTGCATGCGAGGCAGATTTCGGCTGCTCTCTCGAACGCCCTCGACAAGTGGAGAAGGGCCGTCGACGCAGAAAACATGCACCCCGCGACGAAGGGTTTCACTGACATTGGGAGGCTGCCGCCAGGCCCTAAGAAAACAACGGCGAGGGCCCCCGGCAGGAGCAGACCCCCTTCGCGCGCGCGGGTTCCGAGCACCCCAGGCTCAGCCAGCGGGTCCGCGATGAGCCCAAGGTCTATCCACAAGGCGTGCAACGCGAAGCCACCGATGGGCATCCCGCTGAGCAAGAAGTCCTTGAAGCAGCGCGCCAGCGACTCCATCGGCATCGCAACCTCGCCAGGCGGCGCCGCCGCCCCCGAGAAGAACCTCCCCGCCGAGACGGCGACGAGAAGAAGAATGACGAGAATCTCGAGATCTGCACCGTCGACTACGAGCGCATGCTCCTGATAGGACAGAACGGCGCGACGACCACGGAGTGCAAGTTGGCGCCGGGGCCCGACGGCATGCGCACGGCCAAAGTGCACGGCGACGACAAGGAGACCAAGGTGCCGAATGCCATGTGCGAGGCGTGGTCCAAGAGGAAGCCGAAGGGTAAGGGCGCGCCGCTCAAGATACCCGCCGCTGCCGCGAAGAAGCCCGCAGGGGCTTGGGGCGAGGAGGAGCGCGCCCCCAGCGCCGAGGAAGAAGAGGGCGAGGGGGGGGGGGGGAGGCTCGAGCCCGACGAAGTCGAGGCGGACGACGAGGAGGCGCCCGCGGCCAAGAAGGCGCGGCCCGCTGCAGCGGCGGCCTCCGAGCGGAACTGCACCGCGACGCGGTGCAGGAGGGGCGGGCGCAGCGCCGCGCGGGAGAATTTCGGCAACATGCATCGGCAAGAAGTCGGGCCACTACAGCAAGACGAAGAAGGTGAAGGCGGCGGAGAAGCTCGCGAAATTGCTCCACGAGAAGAAAAGCAAGCTGCTTGCGCAGATCTCCGCCGCCAGGGGACACGTGCAATAAAACGAACGAGGAAAACAAAACAACGGATATATCTGGCCCCCCCCCTGGCGGGGCGCGCGTCTCCGCGGCTACAACCGAACCCTCTGCAAACGGAAGGGCAACGAGATCTTGGAGACTCTGTGAGGGTTGCCGCACGGTGTGCGTTTACTGATTGCCTCTCTGTGTGTGCATAGTGGATCAGAAGCGACGCCAGCGCTGTTCATTCTCGGCGGTTGGCGCGGCGGACCGACTGCAAGCGAACTTGATAGTTTCGGGGGCGGCATTCGTGCGCGCGCACGTGCGCTTGTGCGCGCCGTGCAGGCGAGGTTCGGCGGCAGCGGGGCGGCGACGGGCGTCCGTTGGCGACGGCGACGGCGACCGCGCACGCGCGCGCACGCGCGCGCGCACGCACTCGCACACAAACGCGCACGCGCACGCGCGCATAACCGCATACATGCGCGCAATACATATCATTAGGCATGTTGGTGTGTATATATATATATATATGCATGTACATTATATGTTTGCGTGTGTGTATATATACACACTAACGTATCGCTTTCAATCAACATGATGCCAAGTTGAATGTTCAATGGAAGCGCTGCGACAGCTTGCTCCGCCCCCCTGTGCAGGAGAGCGCTGGGAAAAAGGGGAAGGGGGGGAGAGAGCCCCCAGACTTATCCCGCTCGTAGACGATTCGGGCTTGAGGCCAGCGCGCGGGAGGGCCCAGGCGAGCGAGGGCCAGGGCGGGCCTGCCCGAGCAGGGCGCAGCGAGGCGCGCCGCCTGCAGCCATGCCCCCCTCGGCTCCGCTGCTGGCTCTGACCAGCAAGGCGATTGCATTGGAAGCAGAGGAAGGGAAGTGGGGGGGGGGAGAGGGCACGGGCAGCACGAGCAGAAGGGGGGCGGGGGAGGGGGGGGGAGGAGGGGGGTGGATGGGGGGGGGAAGAGGAAGAGGAAGGGGGCAGGAGGAGGAGGAGGGGAGGCAGGGGCAAGGGGGGGGAGAGAGCGGAAGATCCGCCAGGCGATGGACGTCGGCCTGCGCATGGCGCATGGAGGCGGGGGGGGGGGGGGGGGGGGGGGGGGCGCCTGGAAGCCCTCCTGGCAAGGGCGGCCGCGAGCGCGGAGACGACGCGAAGGACGACGGCGTCAACCTCGCGGGCGACGGCGACGAGGAAGGGGGGGCGACGAGAACCCGGAGCTCCGCGGGCCGCGCAAGGCCCCCTTCGGCATGTTCCTGCGCCGCCCGTCAACAAAATGCAGGCACTGCCGCGAGCTGAAATGCATCGGCAGCGGCCTGTGCCTCTCGTCGAAGTGCCAGGACTGGAGCAGGGCCAACCGCCGCCACAGCGCCGCCATCGGCCTCTACGAGCTCCCGAATAAGACGCAGGGCGCGAACAAAAATAATCACAAGGGCAGGAAGAGAGAGCAGCGGGGCACCTAACGGCCGCGGGGCGCGATCGGTTGGCAACGCAAGCTTAAGACAGGTTATATTTAAATCCCTTCTTGCCATGCGATCTCTTCTTGCCATCCTGTGCAGGGGCGCGCCTCCTGTTCAGGAGGGCGCGCGCCTGGGCGGCGGCAGAGCATCGAGCAGCGCCAGGAGCAGGAGATCGCACAGCACGGACACACCCTCGCGACCCCGAGGCCGAAGCCGACGGGCCCCAAGACGGGCCCGATGCAAACCCCCATCGTGCACTTCCTCGTTGACACGATGCCCGCGCGCTTCCCTGGCGACGCTGCGCCCCCTTGCTTCCCGCGGGCGAAGCCTGCGCCGAAGAGCCCGCCAGCGACGCCCCCGCCAAAGCCGGCCCCCCGCCCGCCAACCACTTCACCGCCAAATCACCTCCGCGAATCTGGCCCCGCCCCGCCCCATGCTGACCTGATGGGAACGCTGAGGCAAGCAGCGGCGGCAGCGCCCACGGCGAAACAAGTGGCGAAGGAAGTCGCGCGCGCCCTTCCGCAGCAGCAGCAGCCGCAGCAGCAGCCGCTGATCGCCGCGCCTCCGCGGCAGCCGTTCCCGCACGGGTGGCTGCCCCAAGTCCATATGCAGCCGCCGCCGTTCCCCAGCGCGCACCAGACGCGGGCGCCAGGACGAGGGGCGCCGCCGCCCCCGCCGCCGACCACAGCAGCAGGGCACTTGCAATCGCCACCGCCCCCCCACGCAGGCAGAGCGGCCCGCGGCCGCGAAGGGGGGGCTGCAGGGCGCGCCCCCCCTCCGCAATCGCCGCGGGAAGCCGCCCAGGCCGCGGCAACGACCCCAGCTGGGGAACGCGCGCCCCCCGACCCGCGCGCCGCGGCTGTGGGCGACGCAGACGGCGAATAATCGAGCGGCGACGGGAGAGGCGGAGACGACCGAGAGGGGGAGGAGCCGGAAGAATAACAACGAATGCCTCCGTCGCCGCTGAGACCAGAGGACGCTGGTGCAGCAACAGCAGCAGCAGAAAGCGCTGCAGGCGTGGCGGGCATCATACAAGTGAAGTACGAGAACGCGGAACAGGACGACTCATCCGACTGCGAAATCATCCCCATGCAGGTCTGCAGGTCCCGAACATGCAGCAGATCCGCCAGGCAATGAAAAGAGAGGGCGCCGCCAGCAGCAGCGCCAGCGGCACGGCAGCGCCGATCGAGCCCCCCCCCCCCCCCCCCCCCCCCGCAGAGGCGCCGCAGGAAGAGCCCGCTGCCACCGCAGAAGCCGCTGCAGCAGCCGCGCAGCCAGCAGCAGCCGCAGCCCCAGCAGCAGCAGCAGCAGCAGCCCCAGCAGAGACAGCAGAGGGCAGCGACACAGCCGCAGCACAGACAGCAGCAGCCCCAGCAGAGATTCCGCGGCGCCTGCGCGGCAAAACGACGGCCCCCTGGAAGCCGCCACAGAGGAAGGCAGCAGGGGGGGGGCCGCGAGACACCGACGCCTCCCAGCCTGGAGGCGGCACCGCCGAAGACGGCTTCTGCCAGACAGGAGGCGTCTCCGCCGACGGGCCCCAGCCAGGGCGCGGCCCCCGGCCAGGACGCGGCCTGGGGCCCCGAAGCAGCAGAGGCGCGCGCCCCGACGACGCCCGAGGACATGAAGGAGGTTGCGGCGATGAAAAGGGCAGAGGCTCAGGCAGCCCAGGCAGCGCGCGGCGCAGCAACTGCCGCTGCAGGACAGCCTGCCGCATAGCAATAGGAGCCCACTGCCGCCGAGGAAAAGAAGCCCACAGAGAAGCCCACTGCCGCTGACGCAGAGAAGCCCACTGCCGCTAAGGAAAAGAAGCCCGACTCCCCCGCTGAGAAGGGGGGCCGGAACAACGAGCGCGAGCCCGACAGCCAGGGGCCCCACGACAGCGCTCCTGAAGAAAAAGCACGGAGGACAACAAGGACTGGTTCGATGGCGGCTCTAAGCACGCCTTCCTTTAGAGAGCTCCTAGTCGCGGCGCGCCCTGCGTAGAGCCCAGCGCGCCGCGCACGCGCCTGAACTCGTGGCCGCGCGCCGCGACTCCTGAGATAACATCGCCATCGCCGCGGTCGCCATCGCATCGGTCCCCACGCGGAGGAGGCCGCGCTTCCGGGGGGGGAAGGGGGGGGATAGGCAGGATGGGGGAGGCGAGAGGCGACGAAGGAGAAGCTACCATGCAGGCATCGACGCCGCATGCACGGCCATGTTGACCCCGCAGTGGGGCGCAAAGCAGCCTGTCAGTGGAGACGCGCGCCTCGCATGGAGGAGCGCTCGCGGGAAGATGAGGCAGCCGTCAGAGGTCGCGTCGGACCGATCCCACCGCCGATCCGACCCCGCACGGCAACCTCGAGACACATTCTTTCGACAAAATTTGTCCGAACGAATGATTTCGCATGCTTTTCCTGCGAATTCACAAAGAAAGTACTCGAATAAACTCGCTCGAAGAATTGTGTCGGAAGAATTATGTCTTAAGGTTTTGGTTGATGTCGTGGCTCTCTCCCAATCACCCCCATTTGGGCTTGATCAACTCCCCCGCGGCGCTCTTTGGACAGGCTCTCGCAGCGCATCCGAGTTCTGAGCGAAGGTTGTAGGATGCCTATCATATCTATCATATACATGTAATGCGTATCCATACATGTCATGTGCGCCCATATGATACCACGCACGCATACTACATACGCCTGCGCACACGCACCACATCCAAGGCCACAACGCGCTGCGCGCCGCGCGCGCGCGACTTGCGGAAGCGGCGGCGTCGGCAGCGGCAGGTGATATAGGCAGACAAGGCAATATCGCACGCGCGCGCCTAGCATGCGTCCAAGCGCCGCCCCCATCAAATACCCCCAGAAATTGCAGTCGGCGAGCCGCCCAACCGCTAAGCGGGCGGTGCCGATGCAGCTCGGTGCTCGCAGTACCGCGCGCGCCCCCCGCTCCTGGTATAGATCGTGTAGTTGCGCCGCGCTGAGCATGTATGACTTGTCGGCAGTTCTTCGCTGATATGCTGCGCCCGCGGGGTCTTCTCGTGCAATGCGCACGCCCGAAAGTGGGTGGGGTGCTCCGCAGACGCGCCCTCTGAAAAAGTAAACGCAGCCAGCAGCGGTTTCTTCATCCCTCCTGTACAGGAGGGCGTCTGAGGGGGGCGACGTCGGATCGCGATGAGAAGGAGAAAGTGGGCGAAGAGGAGGAGGGGGTTCTTGCCGCTTCGGCGTTTTTTTGTTCGGGGGGAGGGCAGCGGGCCTCCTGACGGGGCGCGCGGCGGGACTGATTGTATATCTGCAGGCTTTTTGGATCCAGCCCTCGCGCTTGCTCCAGCCTCTTCTGCGCCCGCAAGAGCTGGAATCTTGCACCGCGATGCCATCGCAATTCCTCGCTCTCCTGGCGCGCGTGCCACATTGCCTGCCAGCGGCTG